GAACAGGTCTATATCGTCGGCGTGGATGGAGTCGAGCTCATGATCCGAGTCCGCGACGTTACCGGCGAGTACGAGGCATTCAAGCTCATGCCGACGACCCCGTTGGTCGAGCTCTTCGACACGTACGCGCGGCTCAAGCGCGCCAACGTGACGTCCCTCCGCTTCCTCTTCGACGGCCAGCGCGTCCGCGGCGATCGAACGCCCGAAGACATCGGCATGGAGGACGGCGGCTTCCTCGACTGCATGCGCGAGCAGGTCGCAGAGCCGTTCGGCGACCACGCCGGAAGCCCGGGCCTGTCGTTCCTCCAGCCGGGCGCGAAGCTCCACGCGACCGCGGCCGTCGTTCGGGAGATCGCGGCGCGCTGCCGCCGCGGCGGCGGGTCCGAGGGCGCCGCGCCCTACTTCCGCTCCGATCCGGCGGCGGGGCTGCTGTCCGCGGCGCAGCGCGCGGACCTGCGCTCGAAGCTCGACCGCGTCGCGGCCGTCGACGGCGCGCTCGACTTCAACGAGCTCGTGACGCTGTCCGAGGCGTCGTCCGGCCTCGGCGCGAAGGTCTACGCCTCCCTCGAGGCGCTCTTCGCCTCGCACGGCGGCCGCGTCGACGCCGTCGCGCTCCGCCGGTCCGCGGCCGTCGGCCAGTGCATCCGCTTCCACGCGGACGAGAACTTCATGACGTTGCAGGTCTGCCTCAACGACGACTTCGACGGCGGCGACCTCGTCTACTTGGCCGACGACTGCGCGCTCGTGAAGCCGCGGCGGCCCGCCGGCAGCTACACGGTCCACAACGACCGCGTCGTCCACGGCGTCTCGACCCTCGTGCGCGGCGTGCGCTACGCGCTGCTTCTGCTCATGCGCCAGCCGTAATTAGATGTGTTTTCGAGGCGTGTTTACGACAACGTGACGTCAAGCTGGCCTCCGACGCATAGCCCGACGCGATGTTGTTCGGCGCCGCGGACGCGCGCTCCTCGAGGTCCACAACTTGTTAGACGTAACCATGGCGCCGCGGCCGGAGCAGACCGCGGCGCTCATCGCGCAGGTCGACTACCGCCACCCGGTCCACGGCCACGCCTTCGCGCGCACGTCCAACGTCGTCGGCGCGCGCTGCGCCGGCTGCGCGAAGCTGCTCTGGGGCCCCTTCTCGGCGCCGTGCCGCTGTCTCTACTGCGGCGTCGCGGCGCACCGCGCGTGCCTCGGCCGGCTGCGCCACGTCGCCAGGTGCGCCGTCGCGGCGGCCGCGGCGCCGGCGCCGGCGACGGGCGGCTTCGCGGCGCGGCGCGCGTCCGCGGCGGCGATCTCGCACGTCGCCGTGCGGGCCCCGCTGCGCCGCTGGTGGCGCGGCGGCGCGGCGCCGGAGGACCCGCCGAGCCGGTCGTCGAGCTCGAGCTCGCTCGTCGTCTTCGAGGACGCGACGGTCTGCGACGCCGCGGCGGTGCGCGCGGCGGCGG